AGGGAGCTTGCACCGGGGACGCGGGGCGTGCACCGGGGCTGGGCGTGCACCGGGACTGCAGGGTGGAGCACGCACCGCCGGGTGCACCGGGGCTGGGCGTGCACCGGGACTGCAGGGTGGAGCACGCACCGCAGGGTGCACCGGGGCTGGGCGTGCACCGGGCTGCCTACCGGTCCGTTCCTGCACCGGGCCGGACGCGGGGGGGCTGCGGGCCCGGACACGCAGCAGGCGGGGGCCACCGCAAAGCCACCGTAGGCCACCCAGAGTGTGGCGACACGTCCCCCGCGCCGGGGCGAGCCGGAAAGAGGGGGGACGCGTTTGTGTGCCCCGACATCCCCCCGCACCCCTCCGGGCGCTGCTGTTCCCGGCGTTTCTCGTGCTCCTGCCCGTTACCTGCCCCACGATGTGCGTGCGTGCGAGTTCGTGCACGTGCACGGAGGTGCACGCGTGTGCAAGCATATGCACGCGCTTGCTTGCGTGTGCGAGCACGAGCACGTGTGTCCACGCACGTGCAAGCGTGCGGTGTGGGTCCACGCGCGTGCAAGCACCTGCGTGCACGTGCAGAAGGTGGGGGTGCGTGCGCGTGCACCATTTGCTGCTGGGGCACCCCCTGCACCCCGGGGACGACCCCCTGCCGGTGGGCCGCACACCCACACCGCCGCCAGCGGTTTGCAGGCCGCTTCGCCCTCGAACACGTGCAGGCGGGAGCAGATTCCCGGCGTCCCCCCCCCGGGTTTATTCCCCGGGGACGATGGTGGCGTCGAGCCGTGCGCAACCTTTCCCCTTCCCGAGCTTCGCTTTAAACGTTCAGCAGCATTTCCCACGCGGCGGCCGGGCAGGGGGACAGCAGTGTCCCCAACAGGGCCCCAATCCTAATAAGCAATTAAAAACCTCTCCGCTGACCCTAATAACTCGATCGCGCGGCCAAACCCGACTTTCCCCGGCCCCTCAAGCAAGGTCACGCCGAAAAGCCGTGCCGGGGTGCGCCGTGCTCGGTACCGGCATTTCGGGTGCTCACGGCCGGGTTATGACGGGGCGATCTGGGCCCCGGGGCTTTGATGCCATCGCGATAAGGGGCATTCGGGGCCACCTCGGTTAATGGGACGGGGCTGGGCTGCTCTGCTCTATCGCTCCCATCTCCGGCATCAAAACCAGCGGCAATTTTTTTTGCCTCCTTCTGCTTCATGTCCCCTCCCCGGGGGCCGGGGCTGTCCGTTCCGCTCGGCCGCGGGGACGCAGGGTGCTCCGACAGGGTTGCGGGGCATTGCACGGGTGCAACGGCCCCTTTGGGATCACTGCATCTCTTTTGGGGTTGCTGCGTCCCTTTTGGGGTTGCTGCATCCTTTTTGGGGTTGATGCGTCCCCTCTGGGGTTGCTGCATCCCCTTTGGGATTTGCTGCGTCCCCTTTGGGGTTGCTGCGTCCCCATTGGGGTTGCTGCATCCCTTTTGGGGTTGCTGCGTCCTTTTTGGGGTTGCTACGTCCCCTCTGGGGTTGCTGTGTCCCCTTTGGGATTTGCTGCGTCCCCTTTGGGGTTGCTGCGTCCCCTTTGGGATTTGCTGCGTCCCCTCTGGGGTTGCTGCGTCCCCTCTGGGGTTGCTATGTCCCCTTTGGGATTTGCTGTGTCCCCTCTGGGGTTGCTGCGTCCCCTCTCCTTGCTTTTGGGGGTTCGCATCGCTCCCGCTCGCCCCAAACAGCTGCTAACGAGACCAAAGTCGCTGAGTGCAGGAATAGCCGCATTCTGCCTCAAAAAGCCTCCCGGCAAGTGCAGAAACTGGGGGGAACGGGCTAAAAAAACCCCTCAGCAACCCGTATTTTTCCGGGCGGGATACGCTGCCCCGGCCGTATTCAAATCTCGCATTAAAATATGCTGCAAATAGGGGAAAAAAACTACACGGGGAATTTCTTATCGCCCCCGAGACGAACCGAAATCCAATTATCCCTCCAGTCCGGTGCCCGGCCCCGCTCCACCGGCCGCCTCTTATCCCTGCTCAGCATCTGCTTTTTATTTTGCCTTCTTTTGATTGTTTTCCCCCTTTTTTTTTTTGCTTTCTGATTATCTCTCCTCTCAGTGCATCTCCTCCTCTCCGCTGCTTTCCATCCTTGCCCCCGTAATTGGGGTTTTTTTTCTGTCTCCCTTCACCTTCCCTGCCCTGCTCTGCTTCCCAGCTCTTATTTATTCATCTCTTTGATTTTTACCGCCACCTTTGCATTTTAGGCATAAAGAGGTTTTTTTTAATTACCCCTGAAATCAACGTTGGGTTTTTTTTATTCTTTTCTTGGATCACAGGGAAAACAGGGGTCAGTGGCAGCGCGGGGGCCGCGTCACTGCCCGTCGCACCGTCCTTGGCGAGCCTGGGCTGGGTTAAATTTTGCTTTAACTTTTGCTTCAACTTTAATTTTTGCTTTAACCTTAATTTTTGCTTCAACTTTAATTTTTGCTTTAATTTTTGCTTTAATTTTTGCTTTAATTTTTGCTTAACTTCAATTTTTGCTTCCTCCTGCTCCGTGGCAGCCGTGCATCTCCCCCAGCCCGCTCCTAAATACCATTGCAATGGCATCCCCGACGAGGGTCTCGCCTAACCCAGCTGCCTGGCCAGCGAGGAGCTGGAAAACGATGCTAATTACATGATTTTGCTTCCCCCCCCTCGCTTTGGGTGCAAAATGCCGCTCTCCATCGTGGCGGCCCCGGCAGCGCCCGGTGCCGCTCACCCCCAGGAGCTCCCCAGCCCGGAGCTGACCCTTCCCTCCCCGGGGGTGGGAAATGCACCTCGTTGGGGTTGCAAAGAAATTGCATTTCCACGAGAGCGAAGCAAAACACTGCCGGAAGGTTGCGGGGGATGCACGACGGGATGCTGAGCCGGGCTCCGCTTTGGGCTGGCAGCGGGTGCTGGGATCATCTTCCCCAGGGCTCGTTTGCTGTTCGCGTTCGTTTTAGGACGGGTGCTGAGACCCAGGGTGAGAGCAACTGCACCATCGCCTGTGCAAACAGCCCTGGGATTAAAGATGGGGGATGAAGGCTGAGCCGGAGTTGGGGATGCATCACCCCAAATCTCCGCGCCGGCGAGGCACATCCCCGCAGATATTCACGCCACCATCAAAACAGCACCCAAACGTCCCCCGGTTTGAGGACGGACACATGGACCGGGACTGACAGCAGCACCCAAACCTCCCCAGGCTCCAATTTTTGGGGGGACAAGCTGCAAAAAGCTCCCTGAAAATGAGTTGCAAAGGGGATGGTGGGTCTGTGCCAGCGATTTCCCACTGCAAAATCCCGGCTGGCAGCGCAAGGATGCCCGGGAATGGAGGGGAGGGGGGGCTGGAGCCAAGACAAATAAAGAGTTCAAATGGGAAACGATTAAAACTAAACTAAACTAAAATAAATCGAAAGCGGGGGAGATAAGACGCGGGCGCCCTCGCTGCCTATTTAACATTCATTGGATTGAATAATCAGGCCTCATTATCTCAAATTGTCTGCATATTTGCCCTCAAAATGCTAATTTGAAAGTTGGCTGCGAGCGCCGTCTGCCTATTTTGACTAAAATATTATTTTGCTTTATTGTGCGTTGTTTGTAGCTCCGGGGGCCTTTCCCCTTGCAAACCGAAAGGGAAATAGGAAAAAAAAAAAAAAAAAAAAAAAAAAAAAAAAAAAAAAAAAAAAAAAAAAAAAAAAAAAAAAAAAAAAAAAAAAAAAAAAAAAAAAAAAAAAAAAAAAAAAAAAAAAAAAAAAAAAAAAAAAAAAAAAAAAAAAAAAAAAAAAAAAAAAAAAAAAAAAAAAAAAAAAAAAAAAAAAAAAAAAAAAAAAAAAAAAAAAAAAAAAAAAAAAAAAAAAAAAAAAAAAAAAAAAAAAAAAAAAAAAAAAAAAAAAAAAAAAAAAAAAAAAAAAAAAAAAAAAAAAAAAAAAAAAAAAAAAAAAAAAAAAAAAAAAAAAAAAAAAAAAAAAAAAAAAAAAAAAAAAAAAAAAAAAAAAAAAAAAAAAAAAAAAAAAAAAAAAAAAAAAAAAAAAAAAAAAAAAAAAAAAAAAAAAAAAAAAAAAAAAAAAAAAAAAAAAAAAAAAAAAAAAAAAAAAAAAAAAAAAAAAAAAAAAAAAAAAAAAAAAAAAAAAAAAAAAAAAAAAAAAAAAAAAAAAAAAAAAAAAAAAAAAAAAAAAAAAAAAAAAAAAAAAAAAAAAAAAAAAAAAAAAAAAAAAAAAAAAAAAAAAAAAAAAAAAAAAAAAAAAAAAAAAAAAAAAAAAAAAAAAAAAAAAAAAAAAAAAAAAAAAAAAAAAAAAAAAAAAAAAAAAAAAAAAAAAAAAAAAAAAAAAAAAAAAAAAAAAAAAAAAAAAAAAAAAAAAAAAAAAAAAAAAAAAAAAAAAAAAAAAAAAAAAAAAAAAAAAAAAAGGCAAAAAAGAAGAAAAAAACCCCACCATTTATCAAAAGCTGGCCGGGGAGGAGAGCGGCGCCCTGTTCTGCCTAGAAATGGCATTTTTAGGCCTTCCAGTAAAATTAGAGGCGTTATCAGTTTCTTTTCGGGGATGGACAGTTTATCGTTCATCTCGGGAAGGAAAATAGGAGAAATAATTTGCTTTTATTCTGATTGTTTGGCGGAGCGGGGAGGGACGGAGGCTGCCGCTCCCCGCGGGTCCGTCCCCCCCTCCCCCTTCCCCCTCCCCCTTCCCCCC